AACCAGATTAAAATTTTGAAACAAGCTGTAGCCCCTTGGCAGAGCAACATTCTTTATTAGAGGAAAATGAGATTCTCCATAGAATAATCATTCCCTGAAAATCATGCATGAATAATACCAATGGCAGACAAAATATCCCCAAGTAGTAGTATAGCCTCTTTCAGCCCATAGGGAAATTATCAGAACCACTCAAGGAAAACCTATTCTTGTAGAATGAGCATACCAGGTAGGGCAGATATTGCAACAGTAAATCTTTCCATTGGCCTATGCTTGGAAAGAAAAGCACTAGGCAGCTACCTTCAATGCAATGCAGTCAGCAAACAGATACCTTGTGAATCCAGATCCTCAGACTTCTGCCAGAAACAACGATGGTCCCCATCACAGACAATAAACAACCTCCACTACAGCTACAATTAAAAAGTTAACACCATAGTGCAAGATCGTTGCCATACTTTATATCTGTAAAATGTAATGCACATCCCCAACCGCAATCACTGTTAGAGCTGGGCAGGAAATATTTTTCCATCCCATGAATATTTTCTAACGTTCAAAATTTCCTCTCATCTTCAATCAGGATGAAAACTAAAAAAATCTCAAAAATATTCATGAAATGTTCTACTCACACTAGGGTAAATCAGAGACAGGTGGAGCTGCCCCACCATGCAAAGCCTGTGTAAGTGGCAACACAATTAGGCCTCATAGAAATCAATAAAACCTTGATAACAGATTTCTTGGAAAAGATTTTGATATTAGTTACCCTTGAACTTCAATTCCCTTCTTTTTTCATGTTTGCTTTCTTTGATATTCTTGAATACTTTCTGTGATAGCTTTGGAGACAATGTTCAGATACTTCACAAATTACCTTTGTGTATATGAAGTTAATGTTGCTATCTGAGAGCTTATTATAATTTTGATTTTTGTGAAGATTGTTCTTTTCTATTTCAGAGTCTAGCTCAGCTTTTGTATTTTATTTCATATTTTTCTGTCTCTGAGACTTGCAGCCAGTTTCCCTGACACACCTTTAAGTAGCAACTGTGACCAAGGGATGTTAGAAAATAGATATTATTTTATTGTCCTTTGGCATGACATGTGTGTATTTTGTTTTTCCATTAAGTGTAATGATTAATTCTTACGGTTTTTGGTAAAAATCAGCAACACAGTCTATCAAAAAACCCAAAACAAAACAAAAAAAAACCTTATCAAAAAACCCAAAACAAAACAAAAAAAACCACACAACAACCCTAAAACAGACATCCATGCTATATAAGTTCAGCTGGAAGTCAAATGGCTTTTACACACTACATATAGCACTACCTACACATGAAACTCTGTCCCCACGGAAGTTCACAGAAGTTCTGTCATTGACTTCAGTAGGGCCAGGATGCCCTCCATGATATTTAATGGATGAAACAGCCAATATGTAAGAAATAGCAGTTTGTAATATCTTAGTTTCCAACAACTCCAAAGCATTTTGTGCTATTAACATCTAACACTAAAATATTACCAAATGTTCTTAGGATACAGCACTGTAGATGGATGCCTTGCAATACTGAAGAATATTCACACAGTGGAAAACATTTTTGGAGAGCATGGTTTTCTGTCTTGTAGATTATTAAAAATCAATTAGTTTATTAAACCACTCATTTAACATTATGAAAGAAATCATTTTAAGGAAAAGGATGCTGCTTACATGTATCTGCTCTCATTATCTTCACCATGATCTGTCAGTAGCAGTTGAACATGATAATTAGATAAATGCTAATGAAAAGGTGAACTGTATCTGGCCAGCCTGGAGGTTTCTCTCTTCTGGGTGAATTCCAGGTTGAAAATAGGGTCAAAGCTTCCCCAAGTGTCACTAAATTGTAAAAGGCCTGGTTCTTACCCACACATCCCTCTACACACTTGGATTTTAAAATGGGCATAATTTTTATATCTTTTGTTTAATTGGGGATCTGGCCCTTATTACCAACAGGTCTAGTGGTTCAGATACCAGGTCTTGCTGAGTTGCATGGAGGAACAAGGTGAGACCTGAACATGAGAGGGAGTAATACTCCATTCCTTAAGAAGAGAGAGAAGTACAGGTTAATGAGCTGGTCACGACCCTCTGATATACTGAGTGGACAGCTGTTGGCTAATGGCATTAACCAAGGTGTTACAAAACTTCTGCAAGCGTTCATTTAAGGGATGAGAATCATAGAATCATAGAATTATAGAGCTGGAAGAGACCTTAGAAGGCCATCAAGTCCAGCCCCCTGCCCAAGGAAGGACCAATCCCAATTAAATCAACCCAGCCAGGGCTTTGTCAAGCCAGGACTTAAATGCCTCTAGGGATGGAGACTCCACTACTTCCCTAGGTAACCCATTCCAGTGCTTCACCACCCTCCTAGTGAAATAGTTTTTCCTAATATCCAACCTGGACCTCTCCCACTGCAACCTGAGACCATTGTTCCTTGTTCTGCCATCCATCACCACTGAGAACAGCCTTTCTCCAGCCTCTTTGGAACCTCCCTTCAGGAAGTTGAAGGCTGCTGTCAAATCCCCTCTCACTCTTCTCTTCAGCAGACTAAATAGACCCAACTCCCTCCGCCTCTCCACATAGGTCATATGCTCCAGCCCCCTAATCATTTTGGTCCCCCTCCGTTGGACCCTCTCCAATGCATCCACATCCTTCCTGTAATTGGGGGCCCAGTTAATATACAAGATGATATTTTAATTTAACTGAACTTGATCACTTGTTCTGACTCAGGGGTACAGGCTGCACCATCTTTACCCATATGCAGAATTTGCAACTGAATAGGGTGCCTGAATATTTGGGGCACCACTGGGTCTTAATGTCCACCCACCCACCTCTTCCTATCCCTGTTCTGCAGCTCTGCTTCCTCCAGAGGGTATCTAGTTAACTTAAATGTGAAAAAGCCCACCAGACCTATTAGCAGAACACTGAACCTGTGAAAGAGCCATTCAAGTGGTAATGAAGCCATTTAACAGGCATTTGCTAGCCCCAGATATATGCTGTCAGATTCTGAATTTACAGTGTTAGTCTACCTGACCTTAGTTTAAAAATTGCTTTCCAATATTTCATTAGTGTCTTGCTAAAATTATAAAATCACATCTCTAAAAAATCATCATTCTCTCAACCCCAAGGCTGCGATCAGGAATAAGGGCACCAATTTAATAGAAATGCATCAGGCCCCATAAATCCTAAGGACAGCCCTGGGTACAGGCAGGGTTACATTCTGCCTAAATTCAGACAGGCATATCATCCACAAAGCTCACTAAAGGCCTGATTCTGCCCTTATTACATCAATTTTACATCACTATAATTTCATGGGTGGCAGGGATGTTATTACTGATTTACATTAGTGTGAGTGAGAGGAGGATTAGACCCTATCTGCAACCCATCACTGGGAAAACCTGCATTATGTTAATTTTGCACTTCAAACTGGAAAAGCCAAGATACAAGTCACAAAGAAACTGTCGTCTGTTGCTATGTGACTGGTAGTGATTCTCTATCACTTACTCCCTGTCAGTGCTTTTTTTTTTGTTAAAAAAAAAAAAGAAAAAAAAGGGTGCAGGTACTAGAGTTTCCAGATGGCTTTTTGTTGAGCAAAAAAAAAAAAAAGCTTGAGGGAAAATTTGTCCTTTAATTTCCGCGTGTCCCAAGCGGGCTTCCGTCTGGTGCGATGCAAGTGCAAGTCGAATTTTAACATGAATGACAGTTCAGAGGATTAAGATCACAAAGAGAAAACAGTTTCTTGCCATTTTAACCAGAAAGGACACTCTCTCAATGACTTAACCACCTGCATTCTGCTACAAAGACCTTTTACATCTGCACTTGAAAGAGAATCCTCTTAACTGTCATTCATGTTAAAATTCGACACTTTCCAAAAAGGACTCAACAAACATTTGAACTATCTCACCCATTACCAAGATAGTTTCCCCAATTATCACCTCTAATACCATTAACTCACAAACATCCCACTCTCCCTACCTCTAATATCATCAATTCACAGACACTTACCTTCCTTCCTTCCCCCCCCTCCCCTGCATCCCCCTCCTGTTCTGCAATGTGATTTGTCCTTTTCATATTTGTTCATTTTTTTTAATTGTATCCTTTGGTATATATGGTTGTGACTACTTTCTTCCACTATTTGATCTGAGGAAGTGGGTCTGGCCCACGAAAGCTCATCATCTAATAAACCATCTTGTTAGTCTTTAAAGTGCTACATTGTCCTAAGTAATGTAGTGTGGGCTAGGTAATTTTAGGCATCACCCTGACATGGGTTTCTGTGTAACTGTGCCACTCCATAGAGAGGCCCTTGGAAGCATTGTGTCCCATGGAATCACAATTCCTTCCTCATTGTTCCTTGGATGCAGTCAATATGTGGTGGCTTCTATCAGCAGCAAATTAGCAACCACACAACTCTTGCTCACATATGGACTTGGAACCAAACTCTTGCCCATTCCCCATGCCTCTTTGCACACCAACTCCAAGGAGAGACTAAGCCGTCCAGGTGCTTGCCTCTGTGTCCCTGAACCCAAGGTCCCAGTAGCTCATGTAGGAATTACCAGACACAGGGTTGGGAAAGCGACTCTTATTCCCCTTAATGCCTGTGCAGGACAAGCCACAATCTAGCCCAACCTTACTAATATGGCTTCAAGAATGGATCCAAGGAAAAGGAAATGATTTTCAGCCTTGCACATGAACTCTGCCAATTTAAAATTTGAATTTTAGCCCACAGGAAGCAAGTTCCAAGAATTTTTTGCTTGATGCTCTTTTCCCTGCATTTTCTGACTTGATTATCCCCATAAAGATACAATTCCTTCAGGCAGGGAACTTGCATGCTGCATCCATGAACAATTCAGCTAAACAAAATCAAAATCAATGTATATGCATATTGCTTTCCTCTTCGTCCATATTATCTGCTTTTTGAGTAAACCTGCTTTGAATACGTCTTATAAGCAAATTCTCCAACAATTCTATAAAACAGTAACTGTACCTTGAATGTATCTGCACTGTTGGGATTAAACAGCTGGTGCTTCCCAGATCCCAGGATAATGGGACCAGAAGACTTGTTTTCTCCATAGGCGTAAAGGGACACTGTTGCTGTGGTGCCAGCTGTTTGGAAGCCCCCAGTGACTACAGTAATCTTCCAGTCTCCTTCTGCAGAGTAAAAAAATCAAATGGAAACACTTTTATCACAGTAACTACAATGAGGCTGGGGAGCTGCCTACGGCAAATCATGCATGGCCAAGTCCAAGGAACTGTAACTATTGTGCACCTGAGAGCAATACTGTAGGGAGGCATAATGGCCGAGTTTCAGAATAATGTTGAAAATTCAGGTGCAGCTTGGATAAGGATCCAACAGTTCAGATGCTTATCTTGGCCTCCTCCTGGAGTGTGCAAAGTTAAGATGGAAATCTCGTGAGAACCAGCTGCTCTCATGAGATTTCTAGTAATTTCCCACCTGGAGCATCTGAGACTGTGTAGGGAGGGGATGAGAGGGAAATCCTTTCCTGCAGCATTTGGATCACAATCCTGGCTGCTGTCCAGAAATTCCATAGGAACGGAAGTATTAGAACATTTCAAAACCTTGACAATTAAATATTAAATGAATTATTAAATATTAAATTAAAAATTGAATTAAGCAAAATTATCCTCAACTCCTCTCTTTCTCCCTGCCAGAATATTAGTGATTCATGCAACCAAGCACTCTAGCTGCCAGATGGCAAATATGGGATTGAGATCATCTGTGAGTGGATCTCTATATTAAAGGAAAGGTTCACAAAGTTTGTGAGCCACTGACATAAGGCATCTCTGATCTTTGTGTACATTAATGCTGTTTCTTCTGCAACACACTGCAGACTTGTTATATAAATATCTGCAACTGGCATTATACAAATCTCATTAAGCTCAGTTCACTAACTGAAATTGTGCTCCTACATCTGAGAAGCAGAAATCATGAGCTCTCAACCGTTCCTTTCACTGGGGCTTTTGCCCAGTATGTGCAACAGGTTCCACCTAGCGCCTTAATTGGTTTTGGAGAAAGCAGACAATAGTTTGGAGAAAACAAAATAAAATCCTAGCCCACAGAATTGGAGAGAGAAATAGTACACACTGCAATTTTATTCCGTGGGGTTGTTGGCTGCCACGAGTCAAGACTCAGAAATCAGAAATGCTTTATCTTGGGCCATGGATCTGCTGCTTCCCAGGGAAGTGTTGGACTAGGAAGTTCAACCACCTGTTTCCATGCTGTGGAGGCAGGAAAAGGGAATAAGGGAATTTGTGTGCAGCCATCTTGGACTTGTTAACAAGAGAGCAAGAGTCAAGCTAAGTCTGTGGCCTGACAACGCGAGATCTGTAATTAGACGCTGCCTTCGCCTCTCGCCTCCATACGGAGATAAGGATAGAATGCTGACTGACTCTGGTAGGGACCTTGAGATAAGGAGCATCTGGGTGGAACTAAATAACTGTTAGCCATTGGTGTTTGTAATGGGAAGGAGACTAATTGTTATTGTTATTATATCTAATAGACAGTATATAAACTGCTTCATAATTGCTTGTATTTGAAGATCTGCCTCGGAGGGGGGGGCTTCCCCCGTCCAAACCAGTTTTTCTCTTGCTGCAGCTCGTAGTAAAACTGCCTCTGGCTACTTGTTGCTTACAAACTCAGAGTGAGGACAATGTTTTCTTCCACAATGCCAATAAGGGTTGGGTTCCCTCTGAAAATGGGATGTCAAGCTTCTGAGGAGAACAAGGACCTCTGGGAGGTTTTCAGACATAGGAGGGGAACAAGAGACCCATTTCCCATTGAAACACAAAGTCAGTTGAGCAACTAACTCCCCTTTGTGTCTTTGAAAATTTTCCCCCTTCAGATTAATTTCCAGATACTCACTTTGTTAGCAAAGGGACCACATTTAGTACCTGCAAGAGATACAGTCACCTTCATTGGAGGGGAGGGAGCATTACCTCATAAATATTATAGGTAGAAGGGAATACCGAAGGACTCCCTGTTCCAACATTTGGTGCGTAAGACTCTTTTTAAAAATGAAAATGAGTCTTTTCTATTTCCCAAAAATGTAATTTTAATTTTCAGAAAGCCCAGATTACTTTGGGGTCACTTGACTGGCAAAGAATGAAATTTCATCTCTTAAGAGAGAACATGATAAAGAACTTTACTGACAAGCAATAAAATGCAGCAAGTTGTACCTCTGTTATAATTCTGAGTCCCAAAAATGCAGGGAGACACTGCACTGCTTAATTTTAATTGGTCTAAAAGACATTTTTTTGGCCTGGATTTCTATGTGGCTTCAATTATAATGTCCTAAATATCTTTTCACCTACATTCCAATGCCTGCTCTATCAAAACTAATACAAGATGTTGGTACTGAATATTATCCTGAAATGTACTTGGATAGTGTGGGGTTGTTGCACTTGAGCTTTGTTATTTTGGGAGGGGGGAGGGGAACCTCAATGATGGTCAATTTTTGTCCTTAAGGCAGTAGTATTATTAGTGTTCCCAAGACCTAACTTTCTGGCTTGCTTTGGGAAATGCAGGGGAGATATTCCTAAAGGCACCTTTTTCAAGTGGAAGTGGGTGCAAGCTCTAAAGTTCAGTTGTGCCTCCTGACCTGAAAGTCCCAAAAGATGGGAGTATTTGGATTCAGACTTAAACTTGGTTTGTTACGCAAGACGGGGCCATCAATGAAGTCCAAATCCTAATCTCAGCCAGGTTTGACTTTTCCCAAAGGCAGGCTGAAAATCTTGGTTTGGCCCCATCTCGCTCACACCAAACCCTTAAAACTTTTGAAATGTGATTTGTGTTTTGATATAAGAAGAGATGCAAAAGTAAAAGGAGAGTATGAGTAGGTGGCAGAGAAGAAGACAGCAATATAGACAGACTGATACAGAAAAGGACATATATGGGATAAGAATCTCAAGAGCTTCTAATTCCCATCTGGAATCAAGTGCCCTAACCACTCGGATGGGCTACAGAGTCAGTCTCTATATTTCCTGTAGGAGCTGTTCCACCGTGGATAAATAATTGAACATTCATTAGGCCAAAGAAAGACTGACTCTGTTGCCCAATCTAAGTTGGGATGTTGGAGTCCAGGTTCAAGTCCCTGCTCTGAATTAGGATAATCAGGCACTTGAAACTGGGCCTTCCAAACCCCAGGTAAGTACTTGAACCATAGGGCTAGTGGCTATTATAGGATTCTCTCATTTCTCATATAGCATAGAACTGAGGACATTTCCATTAAAGTCAGTAGCTATCCACAAAACATTACCATTTCAACAGAAAAAGGTAATCCAATTTCTATCAATCAACTCTACCAGCTAGCTTCCTTCTGGGTCTGGATCAGGGTGAAAATGCTCAACTCTGAGTGCCGAACCCTGTGACCTTCACTGAAAATAAGTGAGCCGAATGCATCATGCAACTCTGTGCCCTCCACACACACACACCATTTTTCTAGATCTAAGTGGCCATTTCTATGTGCCACAGTCAGACACACTTGGCTGAATTAATACAGTCCAATTTGTGGGTGCAGGAAGGACTAGACAGAGTTCCATCTAAAACTGACAAAAGATTAAGAACCAGTTTGGTGGAACAATGGAAATACTAATGAGTGGGGAGTGGTGAAGCAAACCTCTGTACTTAATAAAAGCCTGGTAAATAAGGAGAAAATGTTTTTTCGGGGAAAGGCAATAAAAGGATTAAGGCAAAACTAATTGTTATTCAAAATAAAATTTATACAAGTAAAATGTGGATTTGAACATAATTTGTATAATAGTTAGATACAAATTTTATAATTAACTCTTTGCCTTAGGGATGCCACTTGAAAAGAGGTACTTGGGTCTCGGTGGATATCTTGATTGCTATAATGAATTATGAACACATTTTAAAATTTTTACCTGACATCTTCTAAATTATTGTTCAACCTACAGCAAAAAGTATTACTTACAGCTGGCGGGGGGAGGGTGTGAAGTTGTGTGTTTGTTCAGATATAGGTAATGTATTGTAGCAGGACAGAAAAGTCAATCTGGACAAACAAGAAATTGCAGACAGATTTGGAAAATGAAGAACTAATGGAAAGAGCTAATTATACATGGCCTTGGGTGACAAAAGCCACAGAGGCATGATGGAAAGTATTAACTACAGAAAGTAAAATTAAGATGAATGGTCACTAATTATTAGGAAAATTATAAAATTCCCAGCTAACCAGTGAAAGACCCCAAAATTACTGGCATGAAAAATGACAGAATAAAAAATAATTTGCAAATAACACAGTTCAAGTGATTTATCATTTAAATCAAAATGAAGCGTTCAGGGCTTACTGCGATAATCAAACTGTTTATAGTAATTAACATTTTAAAAGCAAATAAAAAGGCCAAAAATGTGTGAGGCAGGTAGTTGTGAAACAGAGACACTCTTGCTTAGAATACAGAAAGCAGCAGCAGGATTTACCATTTGCTTCATCTTGCATTTTCAGATGATGATTTATTTGCAGTTCTGCCAAAAATAAAATATGAAGTGCAGTTAATAATAGACCTAGCTGGTTATATTAAGAAAAGGTGGAGGGAAAGCTAGTGTGATGTTAACCCTTGGGCTCCTGCATAAGCAAATCTTCCCTCTCAGCTAATACAATACAATATAAACACAAATACAAAGATATAAAATCTTCCCTCCGAAATGGAATTGGTGGAGGTACCAGTTAATGCTGACATTTTAAGTATAAATTCAGCACAAAGATTCTGAGCAAACAATACAATTTATATATTTCATTTCCATAGCATAACAATAATTCTTACCTTCAGAGTAAAGCTCAATTTCTGAGTGAATTATTTCCTGGGACATAAATGGAAGCCATCTGAGAATAAACAAGCAAACAAGAAAGAAGACTAGAATCGATTTGTTCTTCATTGCATGTAACTGAATGATCCAAGGTTTATTTTGTATGTTGAACATGTGTAGTAGCAGGGGAATTGTCTCTTGAACAGGTGCAGTACAGTTTGATACATAAAATAATGAGGTACAAATTCAGGCCTCAATTCTACAAAGGGATTGTGCAAGTATAAGAATCCTTGTGGGCACAAACTGTGTACAACTGGGGACTAAAGACAACATTCTAGATAGAAAAACTGGTGTGGGAAAAAAAAAGATCCAACCTCAACCATGAGAGCTAAATCAAAATCAAAGGTGTCTTATTTGGTTAAGGACTGCCTACCTAGTTGCCTTCCTACTCTATTCTTGTTACCCCTCCAAGGCTGTGTCTAGACTGCAGAGTTTTTTCAAAAAAAAAGTAGCCTTTTTTCGAAAAAACTTCACCTGCATCTAGACTACAGCTGCGTTTTTTCAAAATTAAATCAAAAGAACGTGGCTTTTCTTTTGACGGCGGTATTCCTCATTTCATGAGGAAGAACACCTTTTTTCGAAAGTGCTCTTGCGAAAAAAGGCGTTCTTGAATGCAAACAGGGCTTTTTCGAAAGAGAGCATCCAGACTGCCTGAGTGCTCTCTTTCAAAAAAGCAGCTCACTTTTTCGAAAGAAGAGGTTGCAGTCTAAACGCTCTCTTTCGAAAGAGGCTGTTTCGAAAGATTCTTTCAAAAAAGCCTCTTTTGAAAGAGGCTTGTAGTCTAGACGTACCCCAAGAGAGAGTTATTTTTACATAACAGTAAACTCAGTCCACGGGCCAGAATTGCACACAGTATTTGCTCCATATGAATTAGAAGCCAGTCTATATAAAGCCTGATATCCATGCTAAGACAGGACACCCCAGGATGGGAGTGTCCTCAGAGATAATTGTTGCATATTAAAAATTAGAGAAAACAAGCTGGAATTAGCTCAATTTACTTATCCCTGCAGGGTGACAAAGGGCATGGGTCTACTCTTACTTACAACCATTTTACATTGGTGCAAGGCATTGGGTCTGTTTCTCATGTATATTAATAGCTACAAAAATCAGGGTCCAGGCTTCCCAAGGGAAGAGCAGAAGGGTTAAATCCCAAAATGAGCAGTTGAACCAACTGGTTGCATCCTGTGTTACTGTACTAGAAGCATGCCAAGTAAGGCCTTTCATGAAAGCTTGAAATGTTCTAAACTTTATGGCCCTTCTGAGATATGTATACAGACTGTTGTGATGAATCTGTGTGTTAATGCATATAGAAAACTGTGCTCAGAAACCTGTACTACAATTTCAACTACACATCACAGTTTGGGGGGCACCTTCCTAGACAAGGATTTATATGACACCGGCTCCAAGCAACAACCCATTCTCTAGCCAGAAAAAGACAATGGAATTAATGGAAAGTTATGGACACATCCTGGCTCTCAGGTAAGAGGGGATTTCTTCACTCTGAATAAACATGTATCATCATGGACTGACAGGGCAAAATAGTAGGCATAAGCCTGCTCGTAAATGGCTTTCTCCAAGGTTTTCTGCCATTTGGCAAGTGCTGTCCATGCAACACTAGATTCTATTACAGCTAGGGCTATGCTCAGAAACGGTAGGAATGGTGTCCCTGGCTTCTATTTGTCAGAGGCTGGAGAAGGATGGCACAAGACAAATCACTTGTTCATTGTCTTTGGTCCACCCCCTCTGGGGCACCTGGTATTGGCCACTGTCGGCAGACAGGCTACTGGGCTAGATGGACCTTTGGTCTGACCCAATACGGTCATTCTTATGTTCTATGTTCTTATGTTCAAAGACAATAGACTATTGGTATTAGAAAAGGGTTGCGCCTGCACATTTCTTTTTTGTGTCATTTATGTAAGTTTATTCTCTCTTATGCTTTCATCTTTGAATCCATGGCTTTTTTATTACATAAGCCCCAAACAGGTCTCTCAGGTACACACTGTGTGGAATGTGTGTCTCATTCGATGGAGCCAGGTAGTTTAAACGTATCCCTAAAGAACAAAGACTAAAGTGTGGGAAACAAAAGACAGAACTATGTAGCACTTTAAAGACTAACAAGATGGTTTATTAGGTGATGAGCTTTCGTGGGCCAGACCCACTTCCTCTAATCAATATGTGGAAGAAAATCAGCACAACCATATATACCAAAGTGATTCAATCAAAAAAATGAACGCATGTGAAATTGACAAATAAAATTTTAGAACAGAGTGGGCGTGAAGGGGGAAGGTTAGTGTCTATGGATACGTCTAGACTACCGCGTTTTGTCGACGGAAGTTTTGTCGACAGATACTGTCGACAAAACTTCCGTCGACAATTTGTGTCCAGACACATGGAGTTCTGTCGACAAAGCAAGCCGCTTTGTCGACAGAACTCCGTAGTCTGGACGCAACGTTACAGGCAATAGCACCTTCTGTCGACAGAACTCTGTCGACAGAAGGTGTTTTGCCTTGTAAAATGAGGTATACCAGCGTCGACAAAACCGCGGAGTTCTGTCGACGTTATGTCGACAGAACTCCGCGGTAGTGTAGATGCTGGTATTGTTTTGTCGACAAAAGTCCACTTTTGTCGACAAAACTAGGTAGTCTAGACACACCCTATGAGGTAATGACTTAGGGGTGATAATAGCGGAAGTTTCTGTGAGGTAATGACATTGGGGTGATAATTGGGGAAGCTATCTTTGTAATTGGTGAGATAATTAGAGTCTTTGTTTAAATCCATACATAAAGTGTCAAATTTAAGCATGAATGACAATTCTGAAGCTTCTTGTTGAAGTCTGGAGTTAAGGGTGAGATCTTGTGCTTGTGGGCAAGCTACTGGTGACAGGGGTCTGAACCGCAGCTACACAGCACCAAGGCATTCACATACAAGTCAGGCATGGCAGGGCCCTTCACTGCTCTGAGAGTTCCCAACTTGTCACATTGTCCCTTTACACATCTCTGAGAAGCAGACACTGAGAATCCCATGGAACTACGCCTGATGTGAGTGGTGTCACAGGTAAGACTCAAGCCCAGAGCATTGCTCAATACTTTGGGAAGGGATGCTATGAAAAGTTAGGGAAATCCCACAGTAGATGAATAAGAAGCCCAAAATAGAGCTTCAAAGATGAAGACGGGGTTGCACAGTAACTGAAGGCAGAATTTAGCTCAATCTTTTCCATAGGAATGAATGGACTGAACCAAGAGGACTTTTCAAAGCCTAAACTTTGGGATCCACATTGCTAACTTTTGTTTACTTCCTGCTCTGCAAAAATGAACCATTTTTTTCTACCTAGAGCCACTATACAGGAGGCTTCTGGTTTGTTTAAATAGTTTCATTTTAATGGCTCAATGAGCCTCTAATGTGACGCTAACTTCCATAGAATTCTACCAGAGATTAATTTAGCCTAATGGAGTCAAATCTGGATGGCTGAGCTCAGCCCAATTACTGTGGAGTTGTGCGGGTGATTTCAGAGATGTCAAGTGGAATGGAATCTTCCTTTACTCATTCAGCTATCCCAGCCTCAGAACTGCAGCAGCCCCTGCTACTGTATAACCGAGCGATAGGCAATAAACAACCTGTAGGCCAGATGTAGTTTGCCCAGGTTAGTCCCTGGTGAGCTGCCACAGCTTTATTTACATGCTCTTCCACAGGTTTAGGCACTGGCAACTCCCGTTGGCTGTAGATCGTCATTCCCAGCCAATGGTAGCTGCAGAAAGTGGTGTCCTGGAGTGCACTGCTTCCCACAGCTCGTATTGGCTGGGAACCGCAATCCACAACCAATGGGAGCTGCAATCATCTGTACCTGCAGAAGCGCAGGTAAATATGGCAGTGGCCTACTAGGGCTAACCCTGATGAACCACCACCTCCTTATTGCCTACCCCTGTGTAACCAATGCTTACTTGGTGTAGCACTCTGTCTCCCTCTAATGCTAGTGATTGATGAGCCTGCTACAGGCTTAGCAAAAAGGCAGGTATCTTCTAGCTCATGCTAGAAGACTCCAGAGGTCCTAGGTTTGAATCTCAGCCACTGATGACCAGGGTCTGTCAGAGTGACAGCTAAACCCCCAAAGGCAGGTGGAGGTGAGATTTAGTAGTGGGATCCACAAAGATGCAAGTACATCCCCTCTCCCAACTCACACCAAATCTCCCTTATGTGTCAGGGAAGAGGAAGCTTCTGTGATGCTGAGCTGTGGGGTATGCAGTAAGTCTGCACTCCTGCAAAAGTTCCTCTCCTCACACGTTCTGACAGCAGATCTTTGGTAATTCTGCTTCACCTGTTTGGGGTGTGCAAAACAATCTTTGCCTCATAGGAAACAAAAATGATTCAGCTGAAGGCACAAGGGAAAATGTTCCATTTCTCAAATCTTCTCCACCTGCCAGAAAATCAGAGCTGCAGCTGGGTGCCTTATTCTGTCTAACATGAATTTGTTAGCATGAAACTGACAAAGAAGAGACATCTGCAACAACAGCAAGAGATGCTGTGAATAACCAGAAATCATTTACAGTAGCACCTGAAGAAAAAAGGTCAGTTAATCCCCTGATAAAAATTCTACTTTTTATTTTCAGAAAACAGGAGCTTTGATTTAAAGGGGGACAGTATAACCATTTTCTAAAGATGTGTTTTTTGCCTTGCTGACTAGAACCAGAGAGAATTAAATACTGATCCATTTACACGTTACTCTTCTGGTTTTCACATTCTTCTTTTTCTTTCTTTTCTGGATTATCTTTAGTGGAACCTTTTCCCTCCCCATAGTAAGGTTATTGCAATCTCAACATGATTTCATTAATCAGTAGTTTTGGACTGCTGTACAGTGAGGCAGCTGGGACTAGATCCTGTATAGTTCTAAGCTTCATGACATGGATCTGCAAAGCACTTAGCATATGCTCTGCATTATGCACATATATAGTCCTAAAGATCAGGCCTAGAGGGTAGGTACCTTGGTACCTTCACACTAGTTTACTAAGGATGAGTTTACACTACACCATAGCTTGAAATAAGATATGCAATTTGAGCTACGCAAATTGCATTTCTTATTTCAATCTTATTTCAAAATAGCTTATTCGTAATTTGGTGCTGTCTATACAGTACCAAATTTTGAAGTAATCTACTATTCCGAAACAACCCTTACTCTTCGTGGAATGAAGTTTACAGGGGCATCAGAATAGTAAGCCTGAAATAACGGGCTTCTTGTGAAGATGCGGGATAGCTATTTCGGGATACTCTGATATCCCGAAATAGCATTCCAGTGTAGACATAGCCTAACAGGCCCAATCCCAGGATGTGATGAGCACTCTCGGCTATTCCCTGAAAGAAGCTCTGAGAATTTCATAGCATCAGCTCCTAAGAATCTTTATATATGAGCTATATTTATGCTGTTCTCTTGTTCAAGCCAGGGCATACAGACACATTCTGTAATCCTAGAAGGGGAAAAATGTCGATTTATCATTTTAAAACCCCCAAAAGAAATAATGTGTTAATTTTAATCCATGAGAATGGATGGGTTTTGCCTAGGAAAAATCTAAAGCCAGGATTTTATTAAGTCAGAAAAAAAATTAATGCTTCTCAGGGTATCTGAGAGAATGAAGGAATATGGTATCTTACACTAAGAACAGAAAAATAAAATAAAATCTTCCAGTATAAAATGAAAATAAAGTCATGAGGCTGTGAGGGTGAAGTATATCAGAAGAATGTCTGAGCAATAAAGCATTTTCCTTCTTTGAGAAGTGCATTGTTATTCAGATGTACATTTTGGCCAATAAAAAAGCCATCCCTTGGTGGTCCTGATGCCCTATTTTAAACTCTGTTCAGTAGCAGTGTTCTTTTTATAGCAGTCGCAAAAGGCAGAAGTGATGTGACTTCTCTTTCCTTTTCAATTTTACAGTCTCGGCTGCTGAATATTTTCTGTTGACCAGCCTCCTAGGTGCTAATTATTCCAAAATGCATACACCAAAGTGCCCTCTCATGCATTGTGTCCCAGCCATGTGACCCACTGGAGGATGGGTTTGATAACTGAACTGATCTTTCTTCCTTGAGTGAGGCAGCTGGCCTCATTTCTCTATAGAACCTTCTGTCTGACTAATGTCAGAGAGTTGTTTATATTTTTTCACAACCAGAGATGATACTGATGAAACACCCACTAGTATGTGCCCAAACCTGTGTCCCTTATTCACATGAGAAATCCCTACTCTTGTGAGTGATAATATTAGTAATTACAAAAATTTGCAGGTTGCCTTAATGTCAAAACACTTTACACAGGTGAGTGAACATTTTTATTGTTATTTTAAAATAGCCCATAGAGAACCTGAGACAGAGATTTTCAGCAAATTGCCCAAGCTCATACCAAATCAACAATAGATCTGGAAATACAAATTAAGTATCCTGAACTCATGTCCAGAGTCCTGTCCATTGAGGCACATTGCCTCCCATCAATCTACTAATTGTAGCTAGTCTACTCACATAAAGTTATTCACATATGTGAGAGTTTGCAGCTTAAAGACTCCTGTATGTGCCTGAGCATGTTTTGGGTACCCACAGCTCTTCCTTTTGTTAAATGGAAAAAGGCTGGATGAGGTGATATTTCTGAAGTGATGTAAAGCTATACTCATGTAACCCTCACTTGCTGCTGGAGAGAGGGGATTACACAGGTTTTCAATTAGGTCAACAACAGAAGATTTCCCCCTTTTCTAGCAATACTCTTCTTGCTAAGAAGAGAACAAAGGTTACTTCTGGATTTCCCAGGGAGAATTACATTTTAATTTAAAAATCTGTATTATTTCTCTTTGCTTTTTGTATGAAAAATTCTCACCCACCATCTTAGAGCATTCCTCCATATGTGGCATTGATATACTTTCACAATCTAATAACATAACTGTCAGTATCCCCATTGTTTATGAAAATTGGGTTTTGAATGTGATAACTCAAAGAACTTAATGCAAAACAGGTCACGTAACATGTCATTTTAAAAGTTCTAATCCACTGAATCTGTATGTTCACGTGCATCTGACGAAGTGGGTCTTTGTCTATGAAAGCTTATGTTCCAATAACTCTGTTAGACTATATGGTGCCACAGGACTTCTCGTTGTTTATGTATACTCTGTGTGTATGCATGCTTCTTTCTTGTATGTGAAGTTAGAAATATTAAGTGGGAACTAGTTTTATTAGTTCAGGTATTCTAGTAAAAGCCACTAGTGGTACGTTAGAATCTTAATGACTCGGTGGTCAAGTCACCAAGCTGTGAATAGTTTAGTTTTTTCTGGAAGTCCAAACTATGGTTGGTCCTATAAAGATATGTGGCCATGCCACCTGGTATTGGAATCCATGTTGCATCTGATATTTTTCCCCGGGGAAAGTCTTTTTAAGAAAAGGAAAGCACGCAGGCTTTTGCCTTCAGCGGGCCATTAAATCTGCCTTCCCACCAGAAGAGGATACAGAAATGGCTGTTAGAACCAAGCTTGACAAAGATCAGCTCTGGCTTGAAAAGAACTGCATCATAAGGACTTGATGAAAATAATGATCTGCAACAATCTTTCTAAGTGTATTAGGATTAGCTGGCATTTTTTATTTGGTTTAGTAACTCACTTTGATCTGTATCTTTTCACTTGGAATCACTTAGGCTGTGTCCAGACTCAGGGGTTTTTTCGGGAAAAGTAGCCTTTTTCCGAAAAAACTTCACCTGCGTCTAGACTGCAGCCACGTTCTTTCGAAATTAAATCGAAAGAACGCGGCTTTTCTTTCGACGGCGGTAAACCTCATTTCACGAGGAAGAACTCCTTCTTTCGAAAGTGCTTCTTTCAAAAGAAGGCGTTCTTGAATGTAAATAGGGCTTCTTCGAAAGAGAGCATCCAGACTCACTGGGTGCTTTCTTTCGAAAAAGCGGCTTGCTCTTTCGAAAGTTCTGCGTGCAGTCTAGACGCTCTCTTTCGAAAGAGCCTCTTTCGAAAGAGGCTTGCAGTCTAGACATAGCCCTAAATGCTACTTGTTATACTTAATACTTGTGTTTATTATCAAGCACTGGATAAATAACTGATAGCACTGTGAATATCTTTTTTCATTCATAAAGAGGGTGACCTTATGATTAGGGTTGCCAGATGGTTTAACCAAAAATACCAAACACCCCCCCCCCCAAAAAAAAAAACTGGGGAAAAAATTCTGTTGAGGGAAAAAAAATGGGGGAGACCAAACTTGCTGACCAAAAAAAAAAAGAAAAGTCTGAGAGTTATTATGCAAAAATAAAATTAAAAAATAAAACAGCATTAAAGCAGCATGGCATGCAGAGTCAGAATAGGAATAGGAACAGGGGAGAGATTGAGCACTAAGATCCAGGGAAGGCATTGCTTCCCCTTGGTCTTTAGGCTTTTTGCAGACAGCCATCTTGTTTTCTTGATCAAGCCAGAATGCAACTTCCCTGCAGAACCAGGTAAGCAGGAGGTCCAGGGGTGGAGGTATTGGGGACGGGGGGAGGGGGGCTGGGCCCAGTTGCTGAGTGTGTCATAGGGCTGCCAGCTGTTTGGTATTTTTGCCTCCTGGCAGGGGGGAAAAAACAGAAAATACTGGACATTTTAGGTGTCCAGTATTTTCTGAATTTTTTTACCGGAGTAAGGCAGCTTTATTTGGGGGTTCTTGTCCTTTTTGGGGAAAGTGTTCCTGAGAGTTCAAAGTGGCCTTATAATAGGGGTGAGTGATAATTTTTAAAGGGGGGGACACTTCACAAATTTCTGAAGTGGCCATGGCTGCCCCAGAGGCCTCAGGTAGAAGGGTGGGGCCAAGAGACTTCTCGTGCTCCCCACACACACAGAGAGACCCTGATTGGTCAGGGGGCGAGGGGAGGCCATGAATTCTTTGCCCCTGCCTGCACCCTGCCAGAGGCACACTGTGACTAGAGAGAACTGCCAGCTGCTTGTGCTCTCCCACCCCCAGGTATCGATTGGCCTGGGGGAGCAACAGGGTGGTTATGGGGCAGATCAACCAACATGGTGGGCCAAATCTGTCCCGCAGAGGCTGTCTTGCCCACCCCCACCTTATAACCAGAGCTGAGCTGGTTCAGTGTCTGTGTAGCTCTGCTGGAGGACTGTTGCCCCAACTCTGCCTTGGCTGAGGGAGACCAGAACTTCTGGCCTAGCAGGTCAGAGTGGGAGGCATCCCAGAGGACAGGTCAGCAGGCTCAGTGGCACGACCAGCGAACTGTGTGACAATTGCAAAGGGACCCCAGTGATCCAACTGGCACAATAACTGCAGAGTTAGCATTTGACATATGCTACTTAGCGATCACTAAATTAAGCCATCAGTGCAGGAGTGTTAAGTAAGATGAATTTATTTACATTGTCCCGGGGGAAAAAAAATGAACTGAGCACATCTATAGAATAAATGTTTCACACAGGTATCAACTAAAGTTATACAGCCTTAAAGGGTTCATATGGTATTTGAGAAGACAAAGCTAGCTGAAAAACAAAAGGACTGTAAAAACTACCTCTCACAGTTGAAAATGTATTCAGAGTCCTTCCCAGCTTTTCTGATGATTACTTTCTCACAGTACCAGTATTGCGCCTTGTTACTGGCCTTACAGTGCAATAGCACCTTCTGCAGTTTTCCCAGAGATACAGCTTCAATTTCAAACCTATCCACCTAGAAGACAACAGTTAGGACAATATTTCATATCAGCTGTAAGAAGATGAAAGCAGATCAATATTTTAAGAGCATGAATCCAGCTCTCTTTATAGTCAAGGAAAAGATCCCTGTTGGGTACAATGAAAGTTAGATTGTTCCCCGAGGGATGGATTCAAAGCCCATTAAAGTTGAAGAGTGTCTTTTCATTGACTCAGTGGATCGTGGATCAGATATTAAGTGAACAAGGGTTACCCAAAGCTAAAAATTTGATTATGGTAATAATGACCAAAAACCTCATACAAGTTACCTTTAGAATCCTTCTCCAAAAGTAGAACAAAAGTCCTCACTACTGGTCTAATACACCTTATAGTAATGCTCAAGCAGTGTTTGGGATGATTAATTTAAAATACTTAGGAAGGGACATATTTGCTCCATGTGGGTTCTCTCCCTCCATTTAAATGCCTTTTCACTGGAAAAGCTGAAAACTTCCTTGCTACTTTGTAATTCTAATCCATTTAGGCTTGTGCATAAGTTTGACAAAGATTGCTTTAATGGATGCATGCAGCTGATGAGGTGAAAAATTCAGGTTGTCTGAAATTTTGACTTCATGAAAAAATGCAGTTATTTCATGATCTCTCTCTCTCTCTTTCAATTTAACAGTCCGAATCATGAATCAGAAGGGAAGCCGTGTTAGTCTGGATCTGCAAAAGCGACAAGGAGTCCTGTAGCATCTTATAGACTAACAGATGTATTGGAGCATAAGCTTTCATGGGCAAAGACCCACTTCATCTTTGCCCATGAAAGCTTATGCTACAATACATCTGTGAGTCCGGATCATGTTTAACAGAAAAACTAAAAAGGAAGAGGTGAAAAGTATAAATGTATTATGCATGCACACAGAGATATCAAAAAAACTACACTAGAAGCATACTAAGGTTGTAAAGTCAAGCACTCAAAAGGTGGAAAAAGACACTTGCCTGTTCTGTAATTGGTGCTATAGGACTACTCGTTGTTTTCTTTGAGATGCGTTGCTCATGACCATTTCCTATTAAGTGTGTGCATTCATCACATACTCTGGTGCTGGAAGTTATTTTCTCAGTAGTATCGGGGGGGGGGGGGGCTCTGACACTCCCTGGAACAGCTCATACATGGTGCAGTATTTGGGGCGCTGCCAGCTCTCCACCACCACCACCCTCAGTTCCCTCTTTTTGGAAATTCTGACCTGGGGAACAGAGGGCAGGTCATGGAATGGACATGACCAACACATCTCAAAGAACACCAGTAATGGACAAGTAGTTGGTAGTCTTTTTTCTTTGAGTGCTAGCTCTTGTCCATTCCATAGCAGGTGAGTCCCAAACAATACTGATGGAGGTGGGTGGGAGTTCACAGACATGCAGATTGCAACACAGTCCTGTTCAACGCAGGGCTATCCCTGGCTTGCTGCGTGTTGGCATAATGTGCCATCAAGGCTTTAATCTCAGAGACTCTCCTCGCCAACATCACCACCACCTGGAAAGCATAATTCCATGGACAGGTGGGAAAAGGAGCAGGAGCCCAGTTGCTCAAAGGGCAGGCCATTAAGAACCAAGATAAGATCCCACTGTAGGAAGAGTCTCTCAAGGCCTGTCATGTTATGAGAAAACATCATCTGACCGGGCTTGGAGGTTGGAAAGCAACAATGGCCATGAGGTGCATTCTAACGTAGGAGGGTGCCAGGCCCTGGTTCCTCAGGCGTAGAGGTAGTCTAAAATAGAAGAGGGAGGGGTGCAATGCTGGGATGCCCAGCAGAAAAACCTTGCCCATTTGACTTCATCCCTCTCATCCTAGATTCTGGATGGCTGAACCCCAGAGGAACATTGGAATGTTGGAAAGTAGTCAAACAGATCCTCTTGGAGAATAGGAGACCTTCAACCAGACACAGGGTATGTCTATACTACCACCCTAGTTCGAACTACGGTGGTTAATGTAGTCATACGAACTTGCAAATGAAGCCCGGGATTTGAATTTCCCGGGCTTCATTTGCATGTTGCCGGGCGCCGCCATTTTTAAATGTCCGCTAGTGCGGACTCCGTGCCCGCGGCTACACGCGGCACGAACTAGGTAGTTCGGACTAGGCTTCCTATTCTGAACTATCTGTACGCCTCGTGGAACTTCCCGGGCTTCATTTGCAAGTTCGTATGACTACATTAACCACCGTAGTTCGAACTAGGGTGGTAGTATAGACATACCCTGTGTCTGGTTGAAGGTCTCCTATTCTCCAAGAGGATCTGTTTGACTACTTTCCAACATTCCAATGTTCCTCTGGGGTTCAGCCATCCAGAATCTAGGATGAGAGGGATGAAGGGATGCAAGGATGGAAGCCTTGGGGAGCAACCCTTTGAATATGGCCATAAATTGCCACATATTGAAGTCATACTGGATAAAGAGAGCTTGGTGTTTAGCCCCTCTCAACTGAAGTCTGGAAAATGAATAAACCTTCCATCCAAAAAGATCCAGTCTCCTCGAGTCTTTATTTTTGTGTGTGGCACTGGGTTGACTTTGCTCCTTCTTGTGGTTAACTGCCTCAACCACAAGAGAATTAGGGGCTGGGTGTAATTACAAGTACTCATGCCATTTTGTGTACACAACGTACTTGCATTTGGCTCTTTTTGATATAGGAGCCAGGGAAGAGGGGGCCTGACACAGGACATTAGTAATTTTGGAAAACCTCTTCATGAAGGGGTTGAACCACCCTGTCAGGAATTGAGGAGCAGAGGACATCAAATGGCGAGTCCAAAGACTTTCCCAGTTCTTCTGCCTGACATCCCAGGTTAGAAGCAGCCCTCTTTAAAAGCTCCTGGTATGCTTTGGCATCATGCTGGGGGATTGGGTGAAGAGGCCACATGATAGCTTCATCTTGTGATGACAAGGAGAATGAAGGGGTTGAACCACCCTGTCAGGAATTGAGGAGCAGAGGACATCAAATGGCGAGTCCAAAGACTTTCCCAGTTCTTCTGCCTGACATCCCAGGTTAGAAGCAGCCCTCTTTAAAAGCTCCTGGTATGCTTTGGCATCATGCTGGGGGATTGGGTGAAGAGGCCACATGATAGCTTCATCTTGTGATGACAAGGAGAATGCTTTCTCTCTTGGGGCCTCCAAGACCAAAGGAGTCTTACCCCCAAAGCCTTGGGTACCAAAAGGGGATGGCATACCATGGCCACTGCCTCTCCGAGGCTCCAAACGTTGATTACGTAGGCTAAGAAGGCTGGGTGAATCCCCAAGAGTTCTACGGGTAACATGGTGTAGGCCACTGCACTTGGGACGATGGGTTAGGGTTCAGTGATGAAGATGTGGATGGCACCGTAGGTACTGGGGCTCTCTCTCCCATCAGGGAACTTCACTCTATGTTGGAAGTGTAAGTGGAGCAGTTGACACTCGGTGAGCAGGATCTGCTGGAGCAGAGGCTCTTTCCCAAGGGTTGGTAATTGCTGTGTCCTGAAGCTTACTTGTCCAACTGGGACAGAGCATCTGGGTCAGTGTCTCAGGGACTGATGTTCAGTGGATCTGCATTGGACACTCAGTATCTACGCCTTCCACTACTTGACTGGGACCGGGAGATACTATGGGTTGGTTGTTGAGGTCACTCTTCCTAAGTAGAGTGATCCCCTTCCTGGAGACAGACAATAAGGGCTTGGCAATTGGCAGTCTCTTATCTCTGATTGCTCCCGTAATCAGCAGTGGTTGGGGTCAGTTCCAGAGTTCTTGCCAGGTAGCATGTGTCTCTGAGGGATCACTGCACTAACCTACTGGCAAAATACACCTCATATTCCCTGATCAGCAACCCCAGAATGGGGATCAAAGAGGGATCTGCTGGGCCTGCTGCTCCAGTTCTGAGGCATGACATCTTCAGGCAGGCAAGCAATGGTGGGACATTCCTCTCAATGTTGAATGGTGCCACTGAGGTGAGAACCCATGCATGGATTCCAAAGTGGGTTTTCCCTGAGATCAGGGTACCACTAGAGCTAGTGTGGCCATTACTGGGAGCAGCAGAATCTCCTGAGCTGCTTGAAGAGCTTTGAGCATTGATGGTACCTGATGCTGGCTGAGGCCTGCACTATCTGGGGTTGTAAGCAAAGCATGGGATGGACTGCACTGCTCGACTTGAGTTGGGGCCTGACTTCCCGAAAGGGGTATTAAGCAGCCCAGCATAAACTTTGGCTCAACCTCAGCCCTTTCCTTTCCTTTGCAGGGCAGATCTTTTTCAGCTTCTTGGCCAGAGCCATGGATGGAGACCAGTTCTGACTCATGGTCAGTGCTGGTGAAACACTACACAGGGAGGCTGCAGTGCTCAGTGTGGTGTGGGACTGCTGCCTAAAAGAACGCTGAAATTAATGTCTTTCTTTTTCTCTCTCCAAGTTTGAACAACTTGCAAATGCAACACTTGTCACTAATGTGCCCCTCACATAAGCGCCATAGGCAACTATTATGCAGATCACTTAATAGCCATTGGCCATTTGCAGCAATGGCAGGGCTTAAAGCCTGGAGACCAAGGGATGCCCCACCCCCTGCTGAGTCCCATTCTGGGATAAGAACTTCAAAAACTTCTACTAAGAATATCAAACTATAGCAACGATCTAGAACTATACCACAAGTTCTATCGGGTTTGTACAAGCAGAGAACAAGACAACACTAACCAAAATGGTAGAATGTTCTTGCTCCGTCACTGGTGGCAAGAAGGAACTGAGGGTGGGAAGAGCTGGTGGTACCCCCTATATAGTGACATGTGCATGCAACTCCAGAGCGTGCCAGAGCCATTCCTTTATGGATACTGCTGAGGGAAATTTAGCACCAGTGCATGTGATGAGCACAAATACCTAACATGGAATGGACAAGAGCAAGCACTTGAAAAATGCCAGAATTAGAGGTGTTCAAGCAACCTTAGTTCAGGCCCATTGTGAGATTATGAGACAGTCTTTAATTATATGATTGCATAGTATTTTTTCCACAGGACCCACCTGCTTCATTCAGTGCACAAAATGGATAGTGCTCACTGAATGGGTAACTATCTAATATTTCTTTTTATCCTCATTCTGTGTGTTCCACCACCACTTTATTTACTGCATACCAATCCCCGCTTGCACTGAATACAGAATTGTTCATTTCTTCATGGGCTTTTGTGTGTGTGTGTGTGATGCTGTCATTGTAGCACCCAGGGCCAGCCCACAACATTTTGGCACCTGAAGCGGAAAACTCAAATGATGCCCCCATGTCCCCTTGCTTGGGCCAAAACTTTGAAAGTTCTCTTGTGCCCTCCTTCCTCCAGCACAGCACTCCACTATCTCTGTGCATCTAGAGTAGAGAGAATACATATGCACCAGCAGCAGACACAATTTTCTACACCCTGGGTCCTAGTAGCACCCCCCCTTCCTCCAGTCTGGTACCTGAGGCGGCTACCTCAATTCGCCCCATGGTAGGGCCAGCCCTGGTAGCACCTCGGCTCTTTACAAAGATTAAGGAACCACTGTTTATAATAACCGGGTGAGGTGAGATAAGGCAACAGTATTATTCCTATCTCACGATGGAGCTGAAGCACAGAGATTGAAGCCAAAACTGTCAAAAATGTCTTCTAATTTTGGGTACTCAATTGGAGAAGTACAGGGCCAGATACTTCAGAGCACTCAGCATTGTCTCTAGCACTTCACATGTTCAGCACAGAGCTCCCATTAACCTCAGTTTCGGCAATGAGTGCTCAGCAAGTTAGCGAATCAGAGCCCAAGCATTTTGAGTACCCAGAAAATGAGGACTATTATAGGCACCTGTGAAAATTTGGTTTACTTGACTTGCCCAGAATCATGTTAGGAACACTGTGGCAAAAGCAAGATAGAATCTAGTTCTCCAGGGCAACTGCCTTAATCAGCAGATGATACATTCTGTTCCTGCAAGTCCCTGCTTCATTCACTACACACCTTTCAGGTTCTGCAACAAATGAGGTGAAGAACAGAATCCTCTCATTCTGAGCCTTTTTGTATAAAGTACATTACACAGGACACTCTCATATTAACAGTTCTCTCAGACAGCTTAATGTCCTGAATTTCAAATTCTTTGTACTTTATATTTGCTGAATTAAATTTGCTGAATAAAGAAGCAAAATTATATTCTATGCTTTTAAATTAGCCCAGATCCATCTGCAGTTTCTCAGTGGATCTGGGATGTTCCATGGTGTTGGAAAGATTTGCATATTATAGGTATTCTTCAAATATGTCAATACAACCTGTGAGGTTAGTACACATTTATTTTCTCCCATTTTACAGATGGAAAAACTGAGACATAGCAGAGGCCAAGTTTGTTGCCAAGAGTACTCAGAAACTCAGCATGTATTAGCTGTCATAAAATTAACAAGTAGTCATTTGGGCAAGGATTGGTGCCCAGACTCAGGGACAAGCATGAACATTACCATTTTAAAGACTTGTGACCTCAGCCTCACAAGTCCAGTCAGCTGACACAGGCCAGACGCTGGTGTTTTTTTGCACTATGATGTACCCTCAGTTACAAGACCAGAATTAGAACTCGGTAATTTCTGAAATTCAGTCTCTTACTCAGTCCAGCAAACCACACTGCAGAATGCAGCATGTGTATTTTACTTATGGAAAGGCTCTTAAGGTACATGAAAGACAAATTAGATAGTTTCATTTACACCTGGATTGCATTCATCAGTATCAGAATGCTTTGCAAAACTGCCATGTATTAGAAGAAAGAGACAGCAAATGTTCCTACTGAGATCTGAAGCCATGAAACAATTTTTGTGCACTCATTTGTGTCCAATTTTGATCTCTTCTGCTTTGACTGTATGTCTGTATTTTCCCGTGTGGCTTTTCTCATCATCTTTGGGGTTTTTTCCTTTCTTTTTCTATTCTTTTGTTCTCCCTAATTTTCCCCCCACTTCCCATTTTACTTTTATTCTGTTTTTAATTTCTGGTTTACTAAATCTTTTTTTTTTTTTTGCCTCACTTATAATATCTCCCAGAACTGGTAAGGACCACGTGCACTGTATTATATCTATGAAAATCTTGAATAAAAGAGTAACTAAATAAATGAAGTGTATCTGTATCCAAGATTTTGATTAGTTCCCCTCAAAACCAATTTTAAAGCATGTATAAAGGCCACTTTTAACATGGCTGTAAATATGCAAACTTCCTTGCTCAGACTTACCATTCCTCTCTGAAATTTCACTGGCATGTCAGATTTATGCAGAAGCCTTAAACCAGAATCTCCTCTCTTTCCATAGATACATAGGTAGATCGGTGAGTCTGTTCCAGCTTGCTCCAAATGGCCAGTGTAAACATAAATGTGGTATCTTACAACTTGCAAAAACAGAGAAAGGAAACACCAATTAATTGTTCATGCAGAGAGATCACAATTCACATGTTCACCCTTTACTCATAATGAAGACACTATCATAAATTTGGCATGCATACCTTTGCAAAGATTATATTTTCAAGAACTAAATGTTACTGTTTTGAGATTACCAAGAACACCTCCCTGAATATACTGTTCATGGGATATAACTCAGCTAACCACAATCCAGTGCATCTAAATGTGTACTTCTGAAGTATACACATACTTGGATAAATGGGTTTTCCTGCTTCTTCTACAGGGAGTTCACATATAATATCTCCATCTCCACGGCTTCTCGACAACCACTTGTTTGCTGGAAAATGTAGAGTCCGCCTGCTCTTTATATGTTGCAGTGTCACCTAGGGAAGAACCATCAGCAACATGATGCAGTCCAGTTTCTCCAGTTCTGCAGTGCCTAATACTGAAGAGGTACATTTTCCTTCATGTGTTTTTTATCATCTTTTTCTGCCATGAAATAATATCACAGGACCTGCACTCACAACACAAAAACTTACTGCTTGAACCCATTTCTAATTGTACTACTACTTTACTAATGTGCCTCTACCACCTGAAACTAGAAAGACCATCTTTGGAGAGAATCTTTATGCTCATTCATTCCTTGGTATCTCTGCTACAACTGCCAACATCTAGTCTTTTTACCTGCTAAGTGTTCAGAAACTATCTTATTTTTAGTGTGAGCAAACACATGAATTAAATTTGCCTTCTTACGCTATTAAGTGTCAATGGTTCTAATTTTTGTCTATAGATAAATTCAGTGGAAAACTGCCTACACAATGAAACCATTCTGAAAAAAATGAGCAGTGAGACTAGGTTTTTGGAATGGGAGATGGATCTGTTAGAGGAACTATCTATTAGAAATGGAAACGAGCTAAAACCAAATTCCTAAATCAGAACCCCTCAGCATTTGTGGGGGAAGCAAGTGTTTTCATAGATTTTAAGAAATCTGTGGTTTGAAATTGGTGATCCAGATCCAAATTCGGTAGCTGGCTCCTGCTTCTACAATGGAACAAATCAAAACATTTTCCCCCCAATTTAAAATCATTCCAGATCCAAATTCTAAGCTATTTGCTACAGAGTGCTATGGTAATAACTGTTATATTTGTTGCTTCATGTTATTAGAGGAGATTTTTCCATTTCCTTCTTAAGAATGCTGTTTGAAAGATGGCATTCTGAGAAAAAGCTTTATGATTAAAATTACGAAATTAGATTTTTGCACTTAAATTCTAAAAATGCATTTTAGATGGGGAGAAAAGATTCCTTTTCGTTGTTGCTTCCTCATTAAAGTGGACATTTATTTTACTTAAAATAATATTTATTTAAAAGAGAGCGTTTTGTGTTCCAACATGAAATACTTTTTGCAACAGTGATTTTTAATCACTAATTGAATTTACAGAATAACCTGAAATGGTTATTGGCACAGCTCCTCCTGATGAATCAGAGCAACAACATTAGCTGCATTGACAAAAAACACATCTTTCAAGTTAATTGGTTTTCTTAAGTGAAGGGAATTCTTTGAAATCCCAGAGTTACCTATGAAGTTTGGACCAACATATTAAAAAAATGTTCTGTAATCAACAGATTAGAAAATAGGTTTCCTGAAATCCTTTGAGCAAAACTGAAATATTTAAACTTGTATTCAGGTTTGATACTCCTAAACTTCAGGCCTCTGAGCTAATCTCAAAGTCTGTTATTGCCATGCAGTTTTGGTTTTAGGTTTCAGACCTATGAAGACAAAACTGTAGAATAAAAAGCATACCTGCAGGTTAAGCATAGGTATTTGATCTAGAATTCTTAAAAGAATATTTGATGTGAATTTATATGAATTTATATGAATTTATTTTACCAAACATGCTCACACATTATTCAGTACAATAAGTAGAATTATGCCATTGAGAAGCTCTGAAATGTGTTTTCCAAGCATATTATTGTATGCAAGGATATGACTGGCCTATTATAGCCATACTTTCGTCTTTTTTTCCCGTGCAGTGGTCCATGGTGCAGTTGAAATTCTGTGACCTTTCACAGCCACTCTCAAGAGATAATGTAAAAGCAATTTATAGCAAACTGAAAAACACAGTGCCATTTTTTAGGATACAAAATTTGACAGAATATCAATACTTCAAAATTGGCACCTATATACCATAGTGATTGGCACATAAGAAAAAAATGCTAATAATGCTAAGTTTGTAGGAATTTGAATTCAAAGTTTCTGTCCCATCCCTTTTATGAGCTGGATAATGTCACTTAACAGTGACAATACGTTTATATAAATGCTTTGGTTGCATGTATTTTTGGATTTCACAATTTGTCCGTAATTTCACCCTCTCTGAATGCCCCAGTTAACAAAAAAATTAGCTACCCTTCCCCCGGAATCCCTAAGTCCAAGAGTCACTCATTGGCGCAGGGAAGTAAGTATTTACATGTTCAAGGATATACAGTATATACCATGATCAAAGGACTCTGTGCTTGTACACAAGAAGTAGAAATGGGCCCCAAAAGAGAGAAAAATCACAAGTTTTCATTGTTTTTGCAAATAAAACATTCCACCATGTTGCCTTGACATTCAGTAAGGGCTTTCATTGCAGGTATGTCTGTCAGCTAGTCTTCAGATGTCTTATGCTACAGCTAATTTAGCCCAGTGGCTTCCAAACTGCAGTCTTTGGACCCCTGCAGGGGTCAGCATATTACCTCCATGTGCATTTTTTAGAGGTCCACAAATGAAAAAAGATTGAAAAACATTGATTTAACCCAAAACCAACCAAGCTGTGAATTAGTGATAAGCTGAGTGAATTACCCCAAACTGTCATCACACTCCAAAAATGTCCTGTGTCGAGTTCCTTATAGCTAATAAATTATTAATAGATTTTAGAATGCATTTGGATATTTTAATGAGTAACATAGATCCATTTGGTGAGCACAGGGCACTCTAGGGATTAAGTTTATCCTGCAGAAGTAGCTTAGTAGATAAAACTCAGGGTGTGCTCTTTTCCTGACTCTGACATGAACTTGCCTAGAGACATTGGGAAAGTTTCTTATACTACTCTCTGCCTCAGTTATCTCGTCTGTAAAATGCATAAAATGTTACCCTTTTCTATAAAGTGATTTGAGATGAAATGTGCCAAATAAGCATTTATTAATTATTATTATTATTACAGTAGACTTCCGATAATCCAGAACCTATGGGGCCTAGGTGGTGCCGGATTATCAGATATTCCCGACTATCAGGAGGTACTATAAGCTGGTAATATATATATACATTATATATTGTATATAAAGTGTTCTTAACCTGTTTTATTATACATACTGTATACAGTGTACTGTAATATTTTAGTTTTTTTAAGACATTTTTACCCTTTTTGCTCAGTTCAGCTGCTGCTGCTGTTACCTTGTGACTCATTTTTTTGCTGAAGCTCACTCACTAGGCTCTTGCCATTTTGATGCCGGACTATCTGGAGTGCTGGACTATTGGATGCCAGACTATTGGAGTTTTACTGTATTATTTAATAACACCCACCTGCCATTCAGTTTTTCCAAAATTTATTATAAAGTCACAAAGCAATGGATTAAAGCACTAATTATGCTGAAGACTCATCAGCAGTTAATCACAAAGTTTTACCTTTTCTAACTTCCATTCTGGGCATTCACTTGTTCCATCATGTCCTATTCTTATCTTATAGAATTCTCCGATGTTCTTTATTTCAACCTGAATTTAAACACAAAACAGCATAACATGTAAATTAAGGATCAAGCATTGTAGTTCAGTACTTCAGCCTTGCTTAGCTTGTGATGTGAAGGTCAGAGGCTTGTTTAACCAAAGCTGCCATTGGAGAACTGACTGTGCAACTGATTCATGATTAGAAGGCTGCCTTACCCAATTCTACTTACTCACATGTGTGGGGTGAAAAGCTTTTCAACAAAAAGTGCGGGCATCTGGATTTTGACTGCTATCTTCTCATGATGGCTTTGCAAAAAACCCTCTAAATATTTCCTTTGCTGTGTTTTAGCTTATTGGAAGTGAAAGAAAAAATTAATAAACTTTCCATAGTTTATGTTGTGTTTGCATTTTTTGCTATTCATTCAGGTGAGCCAACAAGGGCCACATCTTCTAAAAAATTAGGCATAAAATCCACACGCACAACTGTAATTCTTTCCCAATTTCCCTGAGAAGGTAAAATACCTACAAAGATAGGCATGCAACAATTCATACTCTTTTCAGGCCAACCTGGGACTGCCTATTTTTTAAATCTGGGCCTGAAAATAGGCTATTCTGTTTCACTTCTGCCTAGACTCCAGGATAATAGAAGGGGTTCCACCTTAGCCCCAGTGGAACCATGATGCCAGCAAAGAAAATTAATAACAATTTTTAGATGGTTTCAACTGGCAATTTGGAAGGAAAAGGGTTGGTCAAAGCTGGCCACTGAGGCTGTGTCTAGACTACATGCCTCTGTCGTCAGAGGCATGTAGATTAGACACATAGGCAAAGGCAAATGAAGCCGCGATTTAAATGATCGCGGCTTCATTTAAATTTACATGGCTGCCGTGCTGAGCCGACAAACAGCTGATCAGCTGTTTGTCCACTCAGCACGCTAGTCTGGACACTCCCCTGCTGACATCAAAGCCCTTTGTCGGCAGCCCCGTTATTCCTCGTGGGATGAGGTTTACCAGGGCTGCCGACAAAGGGCTTTGATGTCGGAAGGGGAGCGTCCAGACTAGCGTGCTGAGTGGACAAACAGCTGATCAGCTGTTTGTCGGCTCAACGCGGCAGCCATGTAAATGTAAATGAAGCCGTGATCATTTAAATCGCAGCTTCATTTGCCTTTGCCAAAACAACAAATCTACATGGCTCTGTCGAGGGAGCCATGTAGTTTAGACGTACCCCCAGTGACACAAAAATAAATCTGTCCAGTAAAAGACAGGTCAGAAATCACAGCTGAGCTGAAGGAGGGATGCTTCATATAAGAGGAATATTCTGGAAAAGTAAAAGAGCTGCAGAAAAGGAAGTTGAATAACAATAGGCATGCCATCAAAAGTGAAGAGAGAAACAAGAGTACATCAATGTGAGATGCTTACAATAAAAAATAGATGCACTACAATGCCCAGCAGTGGAAGATGACACTGATGTAATAGGCATTATTGACATGTAAGGGCATTTCAAAAACTCAGTGGGATATAGTAATACGTATCTAGGTGGAAAAGGTTAGCTACTAGAAGTGGAAGATTAGCACTGTATCTAAAAGAGTCCATGGCATCTAAGAGCCTGATTCTCTTCTCACTTACACTGGTCTAAGTTAGAACTGACTCCTTCACTGATAGTGGAGCCACACTGGTATAAAACTAATATGACATGAGAATCAGGCAAATAATTTCTGAGCAGACAGGATCATATAATAGAATCTGTCTGAATTCAAGTCCCAAATCATATGAATACAAATGTACCCTTGACTTCCTGTTAAGGAAAAAGGGATTGAGTAACCAACTTTGAAGGAGATCAAAGAGAAAACTCAGGCCCTACTACTGCATTAAAATCTCCAGAGTGAAACCTTGCATGTGCGCCAAGTTCCACTGACAAATGCACTGGCACAGGCATCTGCTCAAGCAGATCCCAATACAAGATTGGGGTCTATAGCTTGAAAAGAAAAACCAGCAAACAAGTTCAGTCGCCTACATATAAACTGGCTATTCGTCACAATGAAAGACATTAAAACAATGAGGAGTCCTGTGGCACCATAAAAACTCTACGGTGCCCCAGGACTCCTCGTTGTTTTGACAGACACAGACGAACATGGCTACCTCTCTGAGGCAATGAAAGAAGTGTTAGAGAAGCAATTTTATGTCACCTTAAACCAGGGATGGGCAACTACCAGCCTGCAGTCCAGATCCAGTCCATCAGGGTTAGCTCCTGGTGGGCCCCCACTGCTATATTTACCTGCATGTCTGCAGGTACCAGTGATTTACCTGCATGGCCACAGGTACTGGCAATGGAAACAGCAGGAAGGGGTTTCCCAGTCCATGCCACTTCCTGCCACTCCCAATGGATGGGAACAGCGATCTGTGGCCAACAGGATCACTGGTACCTATGTCTGTGCAGGTAAATATAGTGACAGCCTGCCAGGGACGAAGCCCAGTGAATCACCACCATGCTATTGCCCATCCCACTCTAAACACATGCTTCCTTGAAGAGGTACTTCAATAGCATGTTAGAAGAATGGCTGCTCTTGACTCAGCCATTTTGCAGGAAGGCGGGGGAAGCCCCGCACCGCCGACTAGAGTTTCTGGAAGGAGAGGGGAGCGGGCTCCCCACCCCCGGACTGCAGTAGTTATGCCCGAGCAGGGGGGTGAGGCGCGGCACTGCAGGACAAACCAGGCAGTGCTCCAGCTGCTCTACTCTGCAGCTTCCCCAAGTCATCCGCTCGTCCATTTCAGCAGCAGCAGACTTGGGGAAGCGGCACTTAGCAGAGCAGCTGGGCTGCCCGGTTGGTCCCGCGGTGCCACTCCTCAACCCCCTGCAGCACCCCAGCTGCTCTGCTCCGCAGCTTCCCCAAGTCCGCCGCTGGTCAGTTTCAGCAGCGGCAGGTGCGGGCTTGGGGGAGCGGTGTGGAGCAGCTCCAATTGTCCGGCTGGTTGGAGCACTTCCGGGTTCCAGTTGGTGCCAGACTATCGGGAGTGCTGGACCACTGGATGCCGGACAATTGGGGTTTTACTGTGTATCCTAATATTGATTATATAATTGTATTGAGGATACAAAAGGCCTAAATAAACCATTTCCAAACATGTTACACAGAGCTCACTAAACCTTCAAAAGTCACAGATGAGTTCCTAACTTTTTGATGGCTCCATTGCATTTTACTTGCACCTTTACTTTGTAATTTTGTAATACCTTAAATATGAAGGATACTGTTACAACTCAATTCTATCCAATTTTTTCATGTCTGTTTTGATGCTGAACTGTTACCATTTTTAAATTTAATATAAATTATTTCCCATCCTATATACTGTACTAGAAATAGAAGTTCTCAGATACTTCGAAAGCAGATCAACTGTCTCAGTATTTCTCAGTGAGTGTTCTTTTGACTAAAAGGTTTTGATGGCAGCATCCTCTGTCATATTTTCCTTTTTCCTAGCCCAGCTCACTGCTGATTCAAATCCCAAAGAGCTATTTGAATTGTTTTAAATAGCTTTCTTTTTACCCTTCAGTTAAAAATCCTAACACATGTATTATCCACCTACTTTCTATTTTCATTCATAAAAATAAAGTTGCCTTGTCTCTCCTTGTACTTCAATATTTCCCCAACTCTTAATCCAACTGTCTTAAAACAATTTATAAGATTGCACTGTTGCATGGCCAGGACAAATGATGTTTGAGGACAATGCTATGATGATACGATTTGTTAGAGTAAGGGTATCCTTTTGTTCAAAGACTTTAAAAATGTGTGACTGTCATGTTTTATGGCTATTTTGGTTATCCTCTTTCATCCCATTTGGCTAATGGTTCAGCTGACCGGCCAGCTGGCCTTCTTTTGTGTCAACACCAACAGGAAATGTATTGACCTTTGTGGAAACGTAAGGAGTGAGGCTTAGCACTCATTTGACGACCAAAAGAAGAATTCCCTTTGGTACAATTATTAGACAAGGGCATAGCCCTATACAAGGTATACCATGCACAAGCAATCTTTTCTTATGTGAGTAGCTTCAAAAAGGATTCAGCGGGTAATGTTTATTTCCTGAGTAAGGGATGTGATTCCTTTTATTCCTAAAAGCAAAGGTATTTCCACTTTCTGATACCTGTCTGCATGAGTTTGGCAATAGGGAAGCTTTTAAGAAAGAGATTCAAATTGCCCTGTATTACCGTAATGCTGTCTGAGGCAGTTTTCTTTCTAGAATTCCTAGCTAGCCCTTTGATGAATTAAATCACTTTAAAAAGGAAAAAAAAAGTGAAGTCTCCCACTTTAGCAAAGTGCAAGAGGAAACACATCAGGCTCAAGCACGCAAGCAGTAAAGAGAATTAGTAAAAAGACCAATCTTGCATTCCTGACTCTACTTCAATCAACAGCTATATTCACACTGATCCACAGGTACAAAACAGTGTCACTTTTTAAAAGAGTTCTTATTCATCAGCTAGCTTTTGATGGATTTGTCTACTGCAGGCTAATGAAGGGAAATGTTGTAGTGATATTTGTTATGTCAGGCCTGAAAGCCAGAGCATCAGTGTGTGGAGTATAACAGCCCATGGTGCTGATGGAGACATTCTTCTTTTCTTCAAGATCAATATCCATGAGGCATAGCTATAACAGATATCTATCTTGTAGTAGGACAATTGGTCCATATCTTGGAGAATCTGTGGCCAGGGAGAGACGTTAATATTGCAGACATGCTATCACTCAAAACTGGGTATGAATTATTCACTAGTAGGAGAAAGGAGTTCCCAGTGGGTCATAGTTATGTGAAATATACCGTGTGCATATTTCCAAAACTAGCATCCCAGCTAATCCCCTTAAAAACAATTAAGAGTCCTGTGGCACCATAGGGTACATCTACACTGCATGGCTGTTTCGGAATAAGCTATTCCATAATAGTTATTTTGAAACAGTTCATTTCAAAATAGCACATCTACACTGCAGGGCAGCCTCTAAATTAGTCCGAGGTGGGCTTCCCGAATGTAGACGTGCTCTATCAATTTAGATCCCCAGGAGGCACTGGGGAGGAATAACTTAGAATAGCCCTGGTGAGGGGCTATTTTGAAATAGCAGACATGGAACATCTACACACAATTTATTTCAAAATAGCTATTTCAGAATAGGCGTTATTCCTTGTAAAATGAGGTTTACAGATTTCAGAATAAGCCATCCATTATTTTGAAATAACGGAATGGCCGTGTAGACGCACGCATTGTTATTTCGAAATAACGCTAGTTATCTGGAAATAACAGTGCAGCGTGGACACACCCCTAGAGACTAATGGATTTATTTGAGCATAAGCTTTCATGGACAAAACCCCACTTTTGCAAAAGAACTTATTTATTCATTATTATGGATAAATAAGGATATTGGTTTGAGTCATAACTCTAGCAATATAGAAGATGCACACACAGCAAGTTCTAGCGCATGAAGGGAAGTATAATTTCTGGTTAATTCATTAACATATGGCTACTAGTAGAAAGAACAAAAGAAGATATGTTCTTTCTATAAAAGCTAAATATGAGTACCAACAGAAGTTTTAGCCCTTTATTAATAGTAATTTCTTTCTTCCATTCCACTACCTCAGTGGTCCCCAATTCATTGCCCGCAGGTGCCACGGCACCCGCTGGGGCATTTATGTGCGCCCACCAAATGATCTGGGCCGGCCCCGCCCTCAGCACACAGCACTTGAGTGGTGCTGGACCCAGGCGCACAGCGCTTGGGAGGCCCCTGACCCCAGCGTGTGCCGGCCCCGGGTGCAGGGCGCGTGGGCAGCCCCTGCCCTGGGCACGCAGCACATGCGAAGTGCCGGCCCCGGGTGCATGGCGCATGGGCAGCCCCGCCCCCGGGAGCATGGCGCATGCATGTCCCCGCCCCCCTTACGTGCAGCCCCGCCCCTAGGAGCCCAGCAGCCCCGAAAGTTTGGGGACCACTGTGCTACCTTTACAAAATGGATCCTCATTGTATTAATAAAGTCAATGCAAAATTCCTTTTGTTTTCATTGTAGGATATAAACAGGATCATATCCTGACAGTGCAACGGGCATGTTATTGTGATCTATTAATACCATGTGTAAACTTTTAAAATCTCAGTCTTTTATTAGGGCATTAGTCAGGGGGGAAACATCAGGTTTATGATGCTTAGCACAGCCAACCATGCAGTAGTCATTTTTGAGCCATGCTTACAACAGTGTATTCAAGAATGCATTTCATTTATAAAGATCCGGTAAATGATACACGTCATTCAGTTGATATGATTTGTGCAGTGGTAGATGATTTCTAAGACTAGTTTCAAACCTACTGCCTAAACTAACTGCCTTAAAGAAAGCAATTTATTTTCGTAGTTTCCCCTGCTTCTCTAAGATATAAGAGAAAAGAATATTTTTTCTGCCATTTACTATATGAATTGAGCTGATTTAATACAGAATTCAAATACATTAGCTATAAATTTAATTTATGCAGTAAATGTAAGGGGAAAACATTTTCTCTGTCACATGACAGAATTATCTTTGGAAAGGTATTCAGTAAAATGATGTTCCCAGCCTTCATTAGCTACCTGAAATTCATCCTCTTTCCTGGGAAGAAAGAGCTGTTCTCGGTTGTCCTTGCCAAGAGTTATCGGTCCAGCTACTCCTTTGTCTCCATATATCCAGAGTGTGACATTTGCATGAGTTCCTGCATTTCCCGTCAGCACTGACACTTTCCATTCATCATCTGAAGGAAGAGGATACTTGGTACCGTGGGTATTTTTCATTTCCTCTGCGAAATATAGAACATTAGTGGTGAATCAAAATTGACATAAAACTGACAGTCCCTGTTGTAACATCAGCACATAAGGGGCAACATAACAGAGAGAGGATTGTACTTTTTTCACTCCAAGGGAGGGAGCCTAAAAAGACTGATTTATGTATCTTATCTAGTCCACAACATTCTGGTTAGCTTAAGTTGAACTACTAAAATCAAAATGGAAAAGACCAAGCATCTTAAATGTATTCTAGCCTGCTATCCTCACAATGTTCTGTGATTCAGTGGCAACACCAGCAACTAAGATCTTTTAACCTATCTTCATTGTGGAATAATGCATTGTCACAGTCAGAAGAGGAAGTCAGACATTTAAAAATGGAGAGAGCGATATGATAAAACTGAAATAGCAGCCCGTTGTTTTAAAATATGTGCAAGCTAAGTAAGGATGAAAGGAATCATATATATATATATATATATATATATATATCAAACAGTTATATAGATAGTGTTCAGGAAATTTCTTATTCAGGGTCTGTTGCTGCCAAGGGTAGCAAAATGAAATTGACAAGTGAGTCTGTATAATGCTCTTTACTGCACTGCTTGCAAAAAGAGCAGGGAGATAGAGGACAGAAACTCTTCCTGTGTTGGGCCATCTCATGTGCTCTACTGGTCCTATTATTTTAGAATAAGCTGGTTCCTACTTCTACACAGGACCCATGACAGGAATTTTTTTTGTGTCTGGTGTGAAGGCCCTCATTATCCATTTAAAACAATTTTATACCGAGCAGGATAATTTTATCATCCAGCATTTAGGATAATTTAGTATTGGTATCAAAAGGATTACTCGTGTGCTTAAAGTTAAGTTTATGCTCAAGTGCTTTCTTGGATTGATGCCATAATATGCAATTTGACAGAATCACTAATGCCTGAAAGCACAATCAAATTACATTTCAAATAAAAAAGGGACTAAGGAAATTAAATGGAAGAACAGCTTTGAACTCATATTTCTTCAAATGTATCCAAGCACCCATTTTCAATTTTACCCTTCAAAAAAAACCTGAACTTTTTACTGTGTTAAAATATCAGATTCTAACTCGAAAGTCACAAAATGAGCATAACTTCAGAACACAGACCTCTGCCATTTAACTTAAAGGAAACAATGCTGTCGGCTTTCAGGCATAGAATGTTGTTAGTCTCTCTGGATTAGCCACTGGAGAGGAACACAACTTATTACAAGTAAATTTTACAAGCTGATGGCCTGACCAAATTTAATTTTGGAAGAGAGATAAATTCACTTCAGTGACTGCCTCCACTGATCTTTCACCCAACGTTTAGGAAAAGATAAACTTCCAAATCTCAGATGATACACCTGGAAATGAAGCATGAATGAATGGAGTCTTAGAGGGAGGAACATAATTTTGAACATTTCTAATTCAAATGGATTAGTAACAGTCATATGTCTGAAATATTATTCTGTCATGATAGTTCTGGCAAAAACATGCTGTCCGCATACATAGGCAGGTACCATCCCTGCTTTGAAGAGTTTGCCATCTATGCCTAACTGCTCTACCTCAAGGAGAAGATACTGCAGTAAAAGAAAAGGAAGATAAATATTCCATCGGCATAAATACATCACCAATAATACAGTACAATCCTTTACTGGAACAATAAGGTAGAAAACATAAATAGCTGAAGAATATGTTCTCTAAGGGCATGCTTATATTTGTGAGATCGACCCTCCAGAGGTCGATCTTCTAGCATTCGATTTAGCAGGTCTAATATAGACCCATAAATCAAATGCTGACGACAGCTCCCTGCCGGCATCTGATACACCTCATTCTGCAAGGAGTAAGGAAAGCGAACAGGAGCCTATGCTCCCGTCAGCCTCCCACAGTGTGGGCACCACCAAGGCTAAGCTTATGGTAAGCCGATTCCAGCTATGCAAAAATGCATATCCAGAGTTGCATATCTTAAACCAGACTAAGAGAGTTCCCACCAACATATCTCTCTTTAGATTCCTCATTGATTAAATAGTATAGTACCTCTTGATACCTGTGTATTTTGTTTTTGTACCAAAGAAAATTTCCTTTTTGTTTGTTAAGTAGTATGGATTTGGGATCCTTACTCAGACAACACTCCAATGGAAAATATCAGTGTATCACCCTAAAGAGGATTGAGGAATTTGCCCAAGAGATTATAGGATGCCTGACTCTTGTTTGTTATTTTTCTTGTGTTGTGTATTAATATGTTGTCTGTAAGGTGCCAACCAAGCTCATCATGCTACAGAAATAATAATGTCACAAGAAATGCTGTATGAATGGGATTTTCAGCCATGATATTAAAAAGCCCAAATTCCACACTAAAAACAAACTTTGAACAGTTTTAGATACTTGATCTGAACTGAACTTCATTAGGATTGCTATTTGTACCTGTAATCATGAAACTATAGTATAATATTTATTTTAGTATAATAATAAAAACTGTTCATACAATTGATTATATAACTTTGATTAACACTGCTTCCTATAAATGTAGCTATCCAACACAATGACACCAATTAGGGTATGTCTACACTACAGCGCTAATTTGAACTAACTTAGTTTGAATTAGTCAATTCGAACTAAGCTAATTCGAACTAACGCATCTAGAACTAAAAACTAGTTCGAATTAGCGTTTTGCTAATTCGAACTAGCATGTCCACATTAAGTGGACCCTGAACCGGGGTTAAGGATGGCCGGAAGCAGTGCTGGCAGGGCAACAGATGAGGACTTAGAGCGTGGAGCTGCTGCCTCATGCTAGCTGAGAGCTGTGCTTAAAGGGACCCGACCCCCACCCCGGACAGACAGTTCTCAGGGGAGCCCCGCTTGCAAAGCAGTCCTGGCTTGGAGTGCCCTGAGTGCCCACACTGGGCACATCACAGCACTCGGCCATCAGCCCGGCTGCACTTGCCGCAGGCTGCCCTCTGGGGAGAGGCGGCAATTGGGGGGCTGCAGGAGAGCTTCCACCCTCAGAAGCCCGCAGAGCCAGCCCAGTCCTCCCCATCGGGGGCTCGTACCCCATTCCTCCCTCACCTCCTTCCACTTACCCTTCCCTAGCCCCCCTTCCTGATGTACAAAATAAAGAAAATGTGTGGTCAAAAATAGAATCTCTCTTTATTGAACAAAACTGGGGGAGACTGGGAAAAGGAGGTGGGAGAGGGGAGGGCAACTACAATGATCAGAGGTTTGGACGAGGTCCCATATGAAGAGAGGCTAAAGAGACTGGGACTTTTCAGTTTAGAAAAGAGGAGACTGAGTGGGGATAGGATAGAGGTCTATAAAAGCATGAGTGGGGTGGAGAGGGTGCACCAAGGAAAGTTCTTCATTAGTTCCCATAATAGAAGGACTAGAGGACACCAAAGGAAATGAATGGGTAGCAGGCTTCAAACTAATAACAGAAAGTTGTTCTTCACAAAGCAAAGAGTCAACCTGTGGAACGCCTTGCTGCAGGAGGCTGTGAAGGCTAGAACTAGAACAGAGTTTAAAGAGAAGTGAGAGGTGCAAGCTCTGGGAGGGAATTTGGGTGCAGGAGGAGGTGGAGAAGGGGATGCTGGCTCGGGAAGGGGGCTCCAGGATAGGGAGTGTTGGGGTCAGGTGGAGGATTGGGGTACTGAGAAAGCCACAGGTTTGTGGATGTGAGGGTGCAGGAGTTTGGGTTGGG